TACGTTTATACCGAATATGATCAAGATGATTTAGGACTTATATAATCTCAACTAAAAGGCGTTTATATCGTAGCGATTTAGTCTAGGATCATCTACTCTCAGCCCTTAACAAGATGGCAGGTGACATTTGCTTTAGTGTGAGGTTGCCCACAGAATTTTCAAATCGAATTGAAGTGTTTATATAAGACAAATCCAAACCTTAATCCAATCCCTCTTTTTTGGAGGACTGGCTTATCTTGTTGTATCGAGAATTTTGTATCTTGCATTAGTCAGAGCTTCAACCATCTCGAGTGCACTTTCAAATGTTTGTTTGGATCATCTCGTGTGTTTTTGCCTTCACGCAGGAATATGATGTTAGATGATGAAATGTTAGTCTTTAAGAGGCTTTCAAAAACCTTCGTAGAGTCTTCAAGGATCTGACAACCTTGGTGCATCATTAAGTACGTGATATAACCGATATGTTAGAGATAACAGTATTTTCTGTAAATATTCTTACCGGTGTATCGACAAGTATTCTATTTTTTATCAAGATATGATCCAGTATACGGAAATAAACTGCATAATACTTGGCAATTGAATATAAATCGACACTTCCGCCTATAACGGGGTAATAAATATTAACCATATTGGTGAGCACGCGTATCACGTATCTTGAAAAGTGACATTAAGCCGATTTTTTTTAACATTATGCTGTTTTTTTTGACATAATGTAGGCTATTCTACAAGATGTTAACTTAGCACTTAGTTGTACGTGTTGCCTAAACGTCATGAGGCTTGTTATCAGTCTTTGGGTTTGATGTGATGTAAAATCTGCTTCTGAGATGGCATTACTGGAGGTCTAAGCTGTAAGTTGTATGTGTTGATGATAATTACATTGGGTTCTTGTCTCAAATACACTTAATTGAGATTCAAAGCTAGAAATTAGTTGCATATCCACTTTTTCTTATCCATCTTGGAAATTACATATACAAATTTGCTGAATTTCAAAAATGAGAGAGTTAAGAAATAATTATATTCACTGTACACTATCGAATTACAAGCCATATACATGCTAACAGTAATTACACACAACGCGGGCACGGTGATGATTTCCCGTAATTCTCCTGTTTTTCGTAATTTATAACTTTGAACATAACCTCTCTTCAGAAAGTACAACATATAAATAACCCGTCATATTCTACATATTCAGGAATGATTTTCTCACACAGCAAATATCACTGATTTTATACACATGCAGACCAATACACATAATCATCCAGATGCGATCTTGCTATTCAACCAACTTTCTTCTTAGAGATAAAAGCTACAGACCCGGATTCCTCAGCCTAACAAAACTATGCAACCAATAATGCGTAGTTTAGTTGAGTGATTGCTCCATAGATGGACGTTCACATCAATCCTAGTGAGCAAACGTGGAATGACTGTTTGCGCCCTAAAAACATCTTATAAGTTTTTTTTTGACGTTTTATAGGTTTTTTATATTATACCCGTGCCGGTCCCTTGGATGCATAGAAGGCATGTTACATGACCAGAGAGACCCTAATATAACTGTGGCTCATTCTGTATATTTGAAACTTAAATCATTGTATACCAACTTCGCGTCTATTTATTATTCGTACTTCTAGTAATTTGAATTGATTGCGGTCTATGACAGTGAATACCACACTCTGTAAGATTACAATAAAAGCTACTCCATTAATTTAAAAGATGGTGACAGCTGACATCTTTCACGTTACAGCGCCCCCTCATGGAAATCTTATTTATTTATCACACATGTAACGTGAGCCATATTATCTTCTTCGGAATATTGCCAGGACTGCGATATAAATATTTAATGCCCGCATGTATATGACAGTGATGAATGTTTTCCAGCGAGCATTTTCCAGACCCGGATATCATTGTTTGCCACAGAAACGTAAGCAAAAATCAAATAAAAGCAAAAGAAACCACAGACGTACCTTTTGTTGGGATGTATTTCTGCAATGGTTCAACATAAATGGCCAATGAAAGAGGTTCTTCTATCCTTCCAGCTTTTCAGTAAAATCTTATAGCAGAGTTACTAGGCAACCGGTATTACAGTGGTCTGCGATGCATGTTATAGAGTAGGTTTAATAGCTTGAGCGAAGTAGTCAGGTTGAAATTTTTCAAATATTTTGCTTACAATCTGTAAATTAATCAATGTTTTTGATAGTAATGCGTGCTGCGATGAACCAAAAACTACTTTTATAAAGATTTCTATTATTTGCCTAGCTGTTATAGCAGCACTCTAGTTACTTTTAGTCGATATTTTCCCATATTTTTTGCATATTCTCTTCGCCGTGTTATTCTCGTTATAGATCCGTGTAATCCTTTTCCAAGTACGACTTTTTAAAATCAAGAAACAATCTGCTTTTTTCAGTTTCAGTTATTTCTTTCAACTAATATTTGTACTCTCTTTTTATTTAAATTCACTGTTGCTTGTCATAATATATGAGAAATCGGCGAAAAATTTACATATTTTGAGAAAAATTATTCTCAAGCTGTATAAATTTGCTCACGTTATCAAACTTACTCTACAACAACCATTACAGTTAATTGCAATACTACTACTACCACTACTACTATATTTAATCCACTCTGTGCATTCGCTGTTCGCTATCAGATCGACAAGGAATTCACCTTTTGTTACTTTTTTGCATTAGAGAAATTTAGCACAAAAGAAATCAAACCGTCCGAAATTCCTCATCAAAATGCTAAAGAGATGTGACCAGCAAAAAAAGTTTCTCTGACATCATTGACACTCGGTCTCGGTTCTGACATCTGTTACAGCCTACTCACTGATCACTTATTTGGGAACATTCTGTATATTTTCATTAGTTTTGTACTCGAATGCTCTTATGTTTGCTATAGCAAAGCAATAGATATCAAATTAGCGTACATTTAATAAAGGAGCAAAATATGACATATGGGCCTGATACAAAATATGCCCACCGCCATTGAATTAGCGCTGCGGGTAGAATTACTAATATTAATCAAGTGCTGCATGCATGTACTGTTACATTATACAAGTCCACTAATTACATCATTAATCATAAACAATATACATGGTACCTGCTATCTATCTCCATTATGTGATATCTCACATCAGATGCCACACAAACAGCGAGCTGTTGTTATAGACTGTTATGCGGTAACCAACGAAAAAGTTCTTTGAAGAGTTGATCTTAATAAAACTGAGAGAGTTCCTATTATCAACCCTTCAATTTCCATGTAAAGCTTAATGAAAAGTTTTACTGCCTCTTCAACTAAAGTAGTTCAAATACATATGGTCAACACAAAAAAAGTTAAAAGTATTGGAACTTCCGACAACTTATTTTAAAAAGAGGCGTATTTTCAGTATTGTAGTAATCGTGTTGATGCGTAATCCTTATAGTACATTTACTTTATAGGTTAGCCTATGTATTTTTAGGAAAAAGAACCTTACTTATGGTGTGGACATTTTTATTCCGCTTCATATCGCAAAAAGTTACGGAATCTTGGAATTAGAAAGAATAATCATAGTACTTTTGGTCTGTTGAAATAATACAAAACGATTAGACTAACTATATACATAGTAGAGGATCCACACTAAGGTCGTCCTCCACCGGTGTGTCAACCAGATGAAATTGACATTTTATCAAATGAAATTAGTTTTATAGTCATACGAGTAGATATATTTAATTAAAATTATAAAAAATAAATTTTAAAAATTTCGCCGGCGAGTCAACCAAACAAAACAAACTCCAATGAAGAGTTTATAATGTACACAAAATGCAGCTCCTCAGTTGCTTCCCTTTTCTGGTGCTTATTACCTGGCAGCTGCGTTCAAACAGGTCAGTCGATAATAGTAATTGCACTCTTCTGTCGACCAATCGAGACCAGTCTTAAAATGAAAACAATTTAATTACAAATCACGTAGTACTGGGTTGCTTGAGAAAATCTGTTCATAGATAGTGGTTGTGAGACTTTAAGTTGAAAAATCGGGGCGAGCGAAATTGTGAGACAGAGAGGCATTGCGCGTGCTATTCCCCGTATTACAGCCGTAAACTGTGAGAGAGTGCGCAGATTGTATACTCATAGTAAAGACAAGGATAAGTGGATTTATTATAGAGCAATGCTTAGGAGTAGATAATATGATTCTTTTATTAATTGTAATAAAAAAGCATTTGGAATATTCAACATATGTCAAAATAGTAACGAAAAACGTTTTTTCAACAAAAAGAACAAGATTCTTTGGAATAAACATCAATACACACTTAGAAAATAAGTGATAATAGAAAACAGAGTGATAAATAATTATTATTCGGGATCAGAGTCGCCAGAAGTTGCCTCGTTTTCCAAGTCAGAGCAAGTTTCCTCGTTTTCTTTTTCTGTCATGTCTAAAACATCGTTTATTCTCAAAGGTGCCTGGTCTGGTTTGATGTTAAAGGTTTTGGGTGTTTGTCGCCCGTAGAAGTACTTGAATGTACCTTAACATGTAATTTGAGTAATTGATACAAATAGCAGTGCATAAAATGTTATGCCATTATGCCATTCTAGTTTCAAAAAAACTAGCTTTTTAATTTTTTTATTTACTTTTATAAATTTCTGGTTTAATTTAAGTAACTGAGATATTGTGTTGAAACAAAATTTGGAAAACAATTTTTCATAAATACATCGGAATCGTCCTTGTATTTTTTTAAAGCTGTTATATTTTTATAAGAAGAATGATAACCTTCAACCTTAACCCTGTAATGCTTAGTGGGGTTTCGCATCACCCCAAAGAAAATTCAAATGTTCACTAATTTTTTGTGCATAAATTGGCAACATCGGAGATCCCGCTATGTTCATTTGAGGTTAAAGTGTGTGTGTTGTTGGTCGCACATTTTTGTTCAGTGCAATAGTTTATATGATATTTTGTGTTTGGGTGACGAGTAACCCCAGGTAAGCTTAAACTGGTGTTTTTATTTTATTCCACACACTAGATTACGTAATTTATTTAGATGGCTGTCCGACCAGATGATCCCAAATTTGAAGAAACTCTGTTACGATGGAATGGAGAACTCGACAATGAACCTGATTCAGATAATGACGGCACTGACTATGACGACCATGTTTCAATTCAGTCCGACAGGGAGAGCACCTACTCAACGGATGATAGTGAAGTAGAGAGTGAGACAGAGCAACAACTTCCTGGCAAAGTAATAAAAGGAACAAATGGACATATTTGGAGCACTGAGCTTCCATGTCGTACTCGAACACCTAAGCGAAACATTGTTTCATGTATTCCAGGACCAAAAGGTGCGGCCAAAAATATTTCAACGGAATTAGAGGCATGGAAGTTATTTTTTAGCGCGAATGTTATAGATACTATAGTGGTGCATACAAATATGGAAATAGAACGACAAAGAGGAAAATATGTTGCTAATTGTGGCTTTGTTAACGAGACAGACGTTGAAGAGATCTTGGCTTTGATAGGACTGCTTTATATGACAGGTTGTAGAAAAGACAATCATCTAACTACAGCAGAAATGTAGTCAAAGCATGGACCAGAAGTGTATCGATGCGTGATGAGTGAAACAAGGTTTAGATTTTTGATATCTTGCCTCAGATTTGACGACAAAACTATGAGAGACCGAGAAGATAAATTTTCTCCAGTAGGTACGTAATATATGGGAAATGTTTATATCTAACTGTACAAAATACTATACTCCTCACAGTTATTGTACCATCGACGAACAGTTATTGGGATTTCGAGGCAATCGAAGTTGTAATGATGTGTGATTCACGCACATATTATATGGTTACTGCTATTCCATATATCGGCAAAGAAAATAGGCCAGATAAAGAACCTCTCCCAGCTTATTACGTAAGAAAACTGACAGAACCCATTCACGGAACCGGACGATGGACAATTGGTTTACTTCCATCCCACTGGCTGACAAAATGCTTGTTGACTACAATTTGACCATTGTGGGTACTCTCAGAAAAAACAAGAGGGAAATTCCTCCATCATTTCTCCCAAACAAACGAAAAGAAATTATGTCTTCTCAATTTGGATTCGACAACCAAAAAACCTTGGTGTCCTTCACACCCAAGAAGTCTAAATCTGTGCTACTTTTATCGACAATGCATTCTGGTAGTACAATAGATGAAAATAAAAAACCCGAGATAATAAATTTTTACAATTCTATGGTGCACACATATTCGGTATCCCGCAAAACACGCAGGTGGCCATTACGCTTTATAATGGATCAAGCAGGCATTAACTCCAACATTATTTTCTAAATTGTTAAGCGTGATAGACAAAAAAGTGTTCGTCGAAAATACCTATTTGAACTTGGACTACAACTGATCAGGCCTCATATGGAAAGACGTTTGACAAAACCAATACCTCGAAAATTGAAAGAATCAATAATGAATATTCTAGATATGAAAACAGAAGAAAAAGTTGATCCACCTCCAGCAAAATTGCTAAAACAGACTCGCTGTATTTTATGACCAAGAACAAATGACCGAAAAACAAAAACTGCCGGTGCGAAATGATTCAAGGCTGTTTGCAGTAATCATCGAGCTGAAATATGTACCGAGTGTTTGAAATAAATGTTTTATTATTGAAACAAAAGTGTCTATCTTTTATATTTTGTTCATTAAATAGGAATATATCACTGGGGTTATTGGTAACCCCGCCTAAGCAACTATAGCCGTGCTATTCGCCTAAGCGCTCCAGGGTTAATTGAATCTTTGGTTAACTTGACGTCACTATACTTATAACCTTTACATTGTCGAAACAATAACTTTAAAGAACAATGTTCGAACGACTTGTCATCAAAATCAGTTACAGAGTCACTTTTTGCATAAACAAACACTTTTTCGTCATTTTTGATTTATTTTCACAATACACCATACTACGTGTTTACTAACTGACTGCTCAAAACATTGCTCTATAGTAAATGCATTTATCCTTGTCTTTACTATGAGTATACAATCTGCGCACTCTCTCGCAGTTTACGGCGCAATTCCTCTGTGTCTAACAAATTCGCTCGCGCCGATTTTTCAACTTTGAGTCTTACGACCACTATCTACGAACAGATTTTCTCAAGCAACCCTATACTACGTAATTTGTAATTAAATTGTCTTCATTTTAAGACTGGTCTCGACAGACGAGTGCAATTACTACGAGTATTATCGACTTACCTGTTTGAACGCAGCTGCCAGGTAATAGGGACCAGAAAAAGTTAAGCAACTGAGGTGTACATTATAAACTTTTTATTGGAGTTTGTTTTGTTTGGTTGGCACGCCGACAAAATTTTGAAAAATAATAGTTATTTATAATTTTAATTAAATATATTCATGACCATTTTTTAAAGGGTTGCCTAGTCAATGTTTGTTCAAAAACTTATTTCATTTGATAAAATGTCATTTTTATCCGGTTGACACACCGGTGGAAGACGATTTTAGTTCGGATCTTAGACTAACACAACTATAGTGTGATGAAAAATGAAACTCCATTGTTGGATATGCAGATATTTAACGTTAGGAGGAGCTTACACAGCCTTCGGTCATTAATTAACTTATTCTACCTGAAGATAGCCAACAATATTCTGCATTCCGGTGTGAAAAAGCGGATCTGAAGTATAGTAGAAAAATTAACTTAGGGGTCTTCCTTGAGAAGAGCTATGGTGTTTGGTTCCGCTATTGCCTCATAGATGGCGCTAGGATTTTCCATCCCTTTTTGGAAGGAGACCCTATATAAAAAGGAAATAGTAGTGAAACGAAACAATAGAGCTCTTTTCAAATTATATTTCTAAATTCATCTTTGCGTTCTGCTTCTGTCTAACATATGGCGATAGTATCTCTTTGTTGATCGCGGGAATACGGTATTCAGGTACAATACGTTAATGTTTCGATTTATAGGATAATGGCGAAAATACATTTCCACTGGACCTGTCCAACCCTTAATTGAGGTGGTAATTAATCTATCTATGGCCGTCAGATCCTCAGGCGTTGGTATTAAGTGATCGGGTTAACTGCTTCTGCTAATCGATATAAAGCAAAAACAGGGTCTTATTGGACATTTGAAGGGATTGACGCAGGTTGCTTGCTGGCTGCCGATTAATAGGCTTTATCTCACAGCTTTAACCCTTTACAAGATTGTGTTCTTATTAGGCCCGTTTAGTTAGAGAGATGGGCATAAATCAGACAAAATTGATGGGGGTAGGCTAATAGCCCGAGGAAGAGTATATACTCAGTGACATTAGAAGTGTTACAGCCAGAAAAAAAAATATTCCTTCAACTTGTCTTTTTGGCAACACAATGACTATATTTGAAGAATGCTGTGGCAAAAATGTCAACGTTTTATCTTTGTTTCTGTTTACCTTTGTTAAAATTTTATCTTAGTTTTTGTGAAGGACCTTGTTTTTGAGAGCTGGGTAGTACAGGCATTTTCAGTTATTGCCATATCATTTACATACATACAGTTAAGCATAACAAAATGTCTAGAGTTCGAAGACGTCCAAATTATCACCATATTAGAGACTTTGACAGGGGTACAATTATTGCCTATCGAGATGTTTGTTTATCCTATCGCGAAATTGGCTGCCATGTTAATTGCACTTCGACGTCGGTAATGCGTGTGTGTCGTGTGTGGATAGAAGAAGATGGAGGAATACGAAGAAGGCAAATTGGTCCACCGAGGCGTACCACAGAGCGTCAACACAGGCGCTTCAGATAACTATCCATCCGGGACCGTTTTGCTATTACGCGTAAGATCACTGACCAATGGTTTGGAGAGGAAGGTGGACCTGTTACTATGCGTACACTCTATCGCCGCATTCGAGCCGTTGGACTTTCTTCGTAACGTCCACGGTTGGTGCTTCCTTTGACTGCGGACCACTGACTTCAACGTTTGAACTGGAGCAGAGAACGGCAATATTGGGAGGTAGAATGGCATAATGTCATCTTCAGCGATGAATCGCGATTCTGACTGGGTATGCACGATGATCGTAGAAGGGTAAAACGTCGCCTTGGAGCACGGCGTGGTATTGGATTCGCGGTTGAGAGGCATGTACACGGGGCTGTTGAAGTAATGGTTTGAGAGGCTTGGGCCGATGGTAGCCAAGCACCCATTCTCTTTGTCTAAGGCACTATGACTACTACGCGTTATGTTGATGATGTACCTACCAACCACTTCACTGCCGTGTCTGAAAGGCCGTTCACACGTATTTGTTCAGCAAGACAACGCACTTCCCCATATTTCTCGTCGTACTCCAGGCTTTTTTCAAGAAGCAGACGTTAATGTTTTGCCGTGGCCACCACGTTCACCAGATTTAAATCCCATCAAACATGTTTGGGATATGACGGGGAGAAAACTATCCGCCACAGACTCTGCCACAGCTAATCCACGAAGTTCGAGCTGCTTGGAATGAGGTGCCACAACCAGACATCGATCGTCTCATTTTATCGATGGCTAGACAGGAGTGTATTCAGCTGCGAGGTCAATAAAATTTTGTGAGAATGTTATCGTTCCATTCTTGATGTAGGATTACCTCATTGCCAAAAAGTCAGGTTGAAAAAATTATTATTTTTGGGTGTAACACTAATGTCACTGGGTATAATTGCAAGCATTATGATATATATTTGGGACGTCTATCACATCTATAATGGGGGCAAAAATAAATAAGTGTGGAATGTTAGAAAATTAAAATAAGTGCCAACTGCACTACCTTCTGATGTTATATAAGTTGTAAGTTACGAGTCCGAACTTATAAATCCTCTTAGTGGCAAGCAGTTAACATAATTTTTGAGAATCTACGTATAGTAGTAGTACTTTCACAGCAACGTCACCAGATCTACAGATCCGCATTCCCATTTAATTAGTTAACTAGACTACCATTACAGATTTACTTGGAGGTACGTAGCTAAAGACCGATTACTTCATAGAATATGTTTTTTTATTATAGAAGGACTTGTGCACTGATATTCCACTCATTATCACTACTAGTATGTGTTGACAGCATCTGTTTTGCATGCATTTTTTTCATTTTTTATAAGTCGTAGGCAGAAACCTAAATATCGGGTCACCGCGATTCCTATAAGGAACTCAAAGACGCCTTATTAATCCGATTTATGAACAGCCTAATGTTACCAGAACTGGAAAAGACCGTATTCGTCGGACTACTCCACAATCCCGAAATCCTAGGAACGAAGGAGCGGTCGTACCGGTCACTTCTCGATATGAAAATTTTGACAGAGTTGGGATGGAAGCCTGAAGCATGCTACGTCAATTTGGCAGGATCAACGCGCAGCGGCATCATGAAGGAGAGCGTTTAGGAGCAAAGGATAGCGGTAGAAGAGAGCAAGATGGCCAAACATCCGTAGCATCGGAGTGAAAAGGTCCTGAGACTGTCCGTTAGAGAAGTGTCATTGTCAGTTGAACATCCTTTCTCTGAACAGCATCGAGTATGTAACGTAGTCGATACCACAAACAAGTGAGCAATACTTATCTGGGCCTTGCACCGAGCGAGAAGGATATGCA